ACAGCGGAAACTCTGAAAGCGGGTGGAGCACCGGTAATTAAAGTTCTTCAGAAACTCTTCAATTCCGTCTACCATGGTGGCACTACTCCGGAGGCGTGGAGAAGAAGTGCGGTGGTCTTGTTCTTTAAGAAAGGCGACAACGCTCTCTTGAAGAACTACAGACCGATTTCCCTTCTGAGCCGCGTCTACGTGCTGTTTTCGAGAGTCATTACGAATCGTCTCGCACGCAGACTCGACGACTTTCAGCCTCCCGAACAAGCCGGTTTCCGAAAAGGCTTCAGTACCATAGATCACATACATACCCTGTGGCAGATTGTACAGAAGACCGAAGAGTACAATCTGCCACTTTGCCTGGCGTATGTGAAGTATGAGAAAGACTTTGATTCCGTCGAAATTGGGCGGTGTTACAGTCCCTTCAGCGGTGCCAAGTTGACCGTCGGTATATCGAAGTGCTGAATTATTTGTACAGTAGGGCTACGATGGCTATCCGAGTACAGAACCAGAGTTCTAAACCTATCCAACTGCAGAAAGGTGTAAAAAAGAGTGACGTTATATCCCCGAAACTCTTAACCGCTGCAATGGAAGACGTTTTCAAGCTACTGAACCGGAAAGGATACGGTATTGACATTAATGGCGAGTACATCACTCACCTTCGATTGGCCGACGATATAGTCGTAATGGCAGAATCGCTGGAGGACCTAAGCGCTATGCTCAATGACCTCAATGGTATTTCCCAACGGATAGGTCTTAAGATGAACATGGACAAAACAAAGATCATGTTTTATGCCCATGTCACACCTATGCGGGTAGTTGTTGGGAGCACTATGCTTGATGTTGTTGACGAGTACGTTTACCTGGGACAAATAGTCCGACTAGGTAAGTCCAACTTCGACCGAGAGGTCAATCGACGGATTCAACTCGGCTGGGCAGCGTTCGGGAAATTACGACACATCTTCTTGTCAGGTATAACTCACAACACAACCAGTGCGTGTTGCCAGTGATGACTTACGGATCTGTGACGTGGTCCTTCACTGCTGGCTGTATGAGGACGCTCTAGGTCGCTCAGCGAGCATTTTTCACCGCATCATTTTCTTTAGGCCTTAGAAGCCCTTGACATATTAGCCATACAAATAAAAAAAATTGAAATGTTTGTTTGTAATGTCAAAATAACTATGAAATAATATACGATGCTTATAAGAAAAAAAAAACAATTTTTAAAAATTGTCTCTCGATCTATTTGTTTCGGTTAACCTCTAAAATAGCTAGACCGACTTTGACAGGACTTTCAATGGCAGATATCTGATTATAAGAAGGAGTAACTTAGGCGTCTTTTAAATTGGAAAAGGAACGGCTAGTGTAAGCTCTTTTTTGTAGATCGGAACACACATTAATAAGCAAACAATCCGAAGAGGCCTGGGCTTAGTATGATATCCAAAAAATCAGTACCTCAATCTCGATTACCAAGGTTGATGCAAAGCTCTCAAGACATCGGAAATTAAACATTAGATAATATGTAAATCGAAAAAATCATTAAAATTAGCTTTATTCATCATCATCATCATCATCATTAATACAGCCCTTCACAAGTCCACTGTTGGCTTTTATTTGGTAACATAGGCTTCCCCGAAAAGAATGCTGCAAAGCACGATCATGAGCCACCTGCATCCGTCGACTCCCTGCAGGACTTTACTTACTAATAGTGGGCCGCCCTACACTTTGCCTATCGGTTGACGCTGTCACTCGAGAATCTTTTTTTCCTAATCGGTTGTAGCGGCTCTTCAAGCTATATGTCTGGCCATTATCACTTAAGCTTACTAATTATTTATTGATTGTGAATTATTTTACATTTATATCAGCTTAATAACATTAAATCTGATGCATAGTGCATGATATATAAGACAAAACTAAGAATATTGATTAAAACTACTTTTACGGATTTTATCGCGTTTAATTATACTTTTAATTATTTCTATTTTTTATTCCCGATGTTTCGGATGCTTTCCAGCACCCATGGTCACGGGGGACTGAGGTGTCTGACGTCCCGATGTCATTGTTTAACCCAGAGTACCTTCAGCTTTTTTATTTATTGTTTATGGTCCGATCTACACAGTATGAACTTATGCTATCTTGAAGTCTTGCAGTTGTGTGCTTGGGTTTAGTTTTAATTTTATTGATTATAGGGTCCCAGGCAGGTGGTAGACCCAGCCTCCTTCTCTATTGAAATTAGGGTGTTTTTTAATTTCAATAGCCTCACGTATATCCTTGGTAGGAATCGGTGATCTTTCGCGAGGATTTGTGGTCTATCAAATCTGATGTAATGGTTGGGGCCGTCTAGGATATGATCACAAACTGCAGACTTACCGGAATGTTGATGCTTCACATCAGCTATATGGTCTTTTACGCTGGTTCTAATTGATCTTTTTGTTTGTCCTATAGAGAGTCATAGAGAGACCACATTCACAATCAAGCTTGTACACTCCTGCACCTTGTAGAGGAATATGACACTTGACGGATGGCAAGAACTTCGATGATACCTTCGTGTGCAAAACCTCCGAAGTTGTGTGGGTTACCAAAAAATACACAAACCGAACGCTCTATTACGTCCTATAGTGAGTCAGATCGATTCGCCAACTTACAGATTGGCTCAACACTTAGCCAAAATATTATCACCACTCAGAGGACACACAAGAGCACATACTAAGGATTCATACCATTTTGTCAGTGAGATAAAAGAATCACGTTTTACTGACAATGAAACCATGGTCAGTTTTGGATGTTCAGTCTCTATTTACATGCCTAACTGTTGAAGACTACATCTCAACTATAACTAGGAAACTAGTTGAAAATAACATGCCACCAGAATACGAAGTGCTACTAAGACATTGCCTTACATCTGGCTATCTATTGTGGAAGGAAGAGTTTTACAAGCAAGTAGATGGTGTTGCGATGGGCTCACCTGTATCTCCCATTGTCGCCGATATATTCATGGAAGACTTTTAGGAGAAAGCCCTCCTTACTGCACCTGTTAAACCAAGGATCTACAAGCGGTACGTAGACGATACTTTCACAATCTTACCATCAGACAAAGTAACTGCATTTTTAGAACATTTAATTCCATAAACTCTAAAATTCAATTTACTATGGAGTTAGAGGTAAATAATTCCTTACCTTTCCTAGATGTGTTAGTAATCCGAAATCCAAACAACACCATAGGTTACACTGTGTATAGAAAAAAGACCCATACAAATCGATATTTAAACGGTGAATCTCACCACCATCCTTCACAGTTAGCTACCGTGGGCAAATCTTTGTTACAGAGAGCACGAGGGATCTGTGACAGCAAACACCTGACCGCCGAGCTTCAGCACGTCAAGGAAGTTCTGCACGACAACAAGCTTCGGGTCCCGCGCCTATGCCACAGTGACCGAGTGAAGCCGGCCACAGACGAGCGTGTGCCTGCTGTAATACCATATGTCAGAGGTGTCACAGACAAGATTGGCTACATCTTGAAGCGAGCTTCTATTAGAACATTCTACAAGCCGCCGAAGAAGATTAGTCAGTTCCTACCATCCGTCAAGTGTCATTTTCCTCTACAAGATACAGGAGTGTACAAGCTTGATTGTGAATGTGATCTCTCTTATATAGGACAAACAAAAAGATCAATTAGAACCCGCATAAAAGAACATATAGCTGATGTGAAGCATCAACATTCCGGGAAGTCTGTAGTTTGTGATCATATCCTAGACAGCCCCAACCATTACATCAGATTTGATAGACCACAAATCCTCGAGAAAGAACACCGATTTTTACCAAGGATGATACGTGAGGCTACTGAAATTAAAAAACACCCTAATTTTAATAAAGAAGGGGGCTGGGTACAATCACCTGCTTGGGACCCTATAATCAATAAAATTAAAACTAAACCCAAGCACACAACTGCAAGACTTCAAGATAGCATAAGTTCATACTGTGTAGATCAAACCATAAACAATAAATAAAAAAAGCTGAAGGTACTTCGGGTTTAACAATGACATCGGGACGTCAGTCACCTCAGTCCCCCGTGACCATGGGTGCTGGAAAGCACCCGAAACGTCGGGAATTAAAAATAAAAATAATTAACAGTATAATTAAACGCGATAAAATCCGTAAAAGTAGTTTTTAATCAATGTGTAGTGTTCGCGTAAATATAAGAAATCATTATGTAAAACTAAGAATAAATAGAAAATAAGAAAAAAAACTTATTCAATAATGCGATGAAAATTTATTCCTGTATTTGTTTTTTTTTTCACTAACGTTTACGTTCTAGACGTAAATTTATACTGACAGCCCCAGACCTAAATACTTCTTTATCTTTAAGGGCATCCGACATATTTGTAGCGTTGTCATCTTCGACCTCGTGCGTAGTTTGTGTAACTGTATATAAGTGCAAATTACGTTCGGTATACTTCAGTATTCACTTTACCCGTAAAAAAATAAAGTTTTGTGATTTAAATATTTACCCTAAATAAACTGTCGCAAAAAGATTTAAGTTTGTGGCGGTCATTTCAGCGCATTATACGAAACTATAAATTGCTTACGCTCAAATCATAATGATTTTGCCGTTTGCATTGATTCTCAACAGCTTCGTGTAAGTAGTTCTAAAACTTTAGTGCAGAAGCAGAGTGTTTTGAAACTTAATCACTTGTGGCCTGCCAAGGGACACAGAAATATAAGAGCGCAATAATTTTATCCTAAAAATATTAAAAAAATACATGACCTTAATTGGCTTTCCTTGCGTCGACGCTTTACCATTAATTTTTTTAATTTACACTTAATGATTAAATGTCAGAAAAGTTATTGGTGAGGCTAGTTTCAAGTAGTGTACATAGGAATTTCATTAAATTAACCGCACTAATAACTTTGTGAATACCAGTCGACTACGAATATCGTACATTTGTGTTTTTTAGTTTTTTTCCCGTTGCATACCCTTAATGATTACTTATTTACGAATTTGTTGTAGAATGACATTTGCCGAACTACCTTCATTCGATAGTGAACAGCTACGGTTAACGCCGAAGGTAATCAATCTTTTAATATTTTACGATATGCATAATATCAAAAATATTATTAATATTATTATTATTTTTAAATCTGTAAAACGATAATAATTTTCCTGGGAGGTAAAAAGACAACTATGACCGACCCATTTAAATTGCTTACGAGTGTACGAAAGGATATGGAGAAAAAGATACCAAATTTAACATTTATTTTAATAATGAGTAGTATTTTTTACAATTATTTTAGAGATACGGCGTTGGTGTATAACATCATTTACAACACTATACGGTGTTCATCACTATTTCGTGAACACTATTTCCATAAAGCTATTTATATATTAAAACTTTTCCCAGGTCAAATCTGTATTTAGATTTGCAAATTATTAGCGATATAGACGACAATTGGCTCTGAAAAACCTTGAACCCGTGGACCTTTTGAACAAAATTGTCTCTGATGTTATACATTTCAAAGACGGCCTCATGCTCCCACAATCCTTGTTGATTTTGCCATAGTCGCCACACTTGGCAGGCGAGTTGGCATCCGTAGCCGCAACTAAAGATTTGCATCAGGAAGTTGCTGGTGGTTTCTTTTCCTGTGTCATCTTTTGTGACATCCGCGAGACGATATGGGGTTATTGATACCGTAGTGTTAGAGCAAGAAAAGTATTACGCGAGAATTATTAAGGGGGAGACGTAAATTGTATTTTATATTGTCTTGTAAACTTAATATCTTATACTATAAACTATCTTAAACTTATCTTAAAATTCGTAAATTTAAGAAATCATTATTTAAAATTTGTTGTGCATATAACACTATTCAGAATACCAATAATGCAACATCACCTGTTTACTCTACAGTTGAATGTAATAGCGGCGGAGGTCCAAGCAGAGTGTGGTGTCGCGGAACATTTATAATTTATTCCACCCACCCCACTCTTAATGAAAATATTTTTTTCCGCTTTAAGCATCTGCAGTTTCCTTTCTTTTATCAAGTAGTAAGCACAGGGCAGATGTTGCACAAAGCAGGCGTTGATCTTACCACAAGGCTGCCGGCAGCGTCGGGCAATATTGTGTATGAAGATACTTTATAAAGTGACCGAAAAAATTCCTGACGAGTTGTTTACTCTATCAATTGTTTTTGTCACGTATTAACGATTAAGAGTTAACACTCTATATTTTTCCAGACGGTAAAAAAATCAGCCAGTACTTTAAGAACTTTTTGACAGTTTTTTCTTTCAGTCAGTTGACAGAAAATTTTTTATGTTGTATATTATCACGTGTTAATACATTTTTTTCATAATATATTAACTAAAAAAAATGCATTTATATATTTTTAGTATGGCGAAGTTCTTTCAAAACCAGTACGAAGTACTATGTACGAAAATGAAGCATTAACAAGTGGCAAAACAAGTGATAATAAGTCTAGAACTGAAGCATTAAATGGAGACCCCGATATCAATTTCAGCGACTTACCGCAATACAAGAAAGTAATGGAGATGTTGCTCCGAGATATTCAACGGGGTAATCATCTGTTGCTAGTCGATGATCGGGGACTGGAAAATAAGAAAATCGTAGACAGACTGTTACATCAATTGAATCACCCTACATTATACACAAAGTTGCACCGCGACGCAACGGAACAGTCTTTGATAGTACACCCAACTATCAAAAATGGAACAGTCATTTACGAAGATTCACAACTCGTTAAAGCCGTTAAACATGGCTACGTGTTAGTTGTGGATGAAGCCGACCAAGCGCCAACAACAGTGACAAGCAGCTTAAACTCTTTAATGGAAAATGGAGAAATGGTACTAACCGATGGTAGAAGGATGAGTTCCAAGAAAATTATGAACATATATGGAGGAAAACTATCTGGTATCATTCCCGTGCACGAAGATTTTAGAATGATAATAATGGCCAGTCAAACTGGATTTCCATTCATGGAATTCGACTCTTCAGATCCTTTAGGTAATTTTTCTGTTTACTTGTAGTATTTGCAATTTGAATTGGTGGTAGAGGAAAAATTATTTTTCGTACATTACGCATCTTACTGATACCGGTCCTGTGTTTTCGAGATATTACTCCACTATCTGACAGAAGTTACCAAACGATTAAAGCTTTCCCCTGGCGACATTTAAATACACGCAGTGGAGCAACGCTGCGGTAGAAGCATTAAAAGTTTGCACGAACCTTAAAGAACCAAGTTCTAACAGATAAATAGCAGAATAATGCTCTTTAGTAATTTTTGTGGTAAGAGTCGAGAACCGGAGACCCTGTTTACTGGTCATAAGGCATTTAACCTTAATCCCCAAAGGTTTGTAACGCATATGCATTTTAACTTTTAATTAAAATAGATGTAGGTGTCTATGGCAGAATTGACTTACAACTAGCACATTAACTGTGGTTGGTACGTGGTAATTCATGCGATTCACGAAGGAATTCTGCAGAGGGACTTAATATGTGAGTCGAAACTAAACATGAACGAATGTTATTGGCAAGTCAAGGATTACAGAATTCACTCACATCAGCAGGTAAAGGTAAGTGAGTAGATCGCGACTGTCCATGCGATATAGTCGGCAAATATTTCGGGGGCTGCAATAGATTAGAATATATTTTATTCAGTGTAGATAAGAAATAATTCTTACTTAAAGTGATTTTTTACAATTACCATTTGTTTGGGAGAATACCTGTAACTATTGATTTAGGCAGCAAAAATCTTCAGTGGGTTTATTGGGGGAATATATGTGTTGAATTATAAGCGACCAATTGTAACCGATGTTTATCTTAATAGCAGGTCTCGAGGACAGAGGTTTGCTCAACTTCAGTTCGCCTGCACACCCAGAAAATCGTTCGCACCGCCGCCGACTTGTTCCTTGTATGTGTGTTGTGAAATTTTTAATTTAAGTATATTAGTAGAAGTTATTTAATACGACTATGAGTACAATTCATAAACAGCAATTTTAATGGATTTCTATGAAATGTCTCATAATTTTAGTTCTTATAGATTCCTTTATCATTGCAGCATTAACAAGTAGTGAGATGGGAATCGTCGCCAAAGCAGGCAGCTCTAACCCAGCGTTAACCACTCTCGTGACGAGCGGCCATCCTACGGGACCATATAGTGCTACAGCAATAGCCTCGGGCACAGCAGTTGCCACTGCAATAGCATTGACCTATGGTACGGGAACGTCGACTGCTACGGCAATTGCTGACGGCTCATCAGTTGCCACCGCTACAGCACGCTCATATGATGCAGGAGTAGCCACTGCCACAGCAGACACTCATGACTCATCATCTGCCGAAGCTACAGCACATGCATACGACAAAGGAATCGCCACCGCCATAGCAAACGCTTCTGGCTTTAAAGTCGTAAAGGCCAAGGCAATCGCCAAAGGCACCGAAGTCATTACCGACACACAAACTAGGCCCTTAATTTAAGTATATTATTAAATTATAAGAAATTTTTAACATCTTATAAAATGTAACGAATTTATATATATTAAAGGCAGCGGTTTATATAATATATTTCTTATATCGTCTTTAACCAGTCAAATAAGCAGTCACAAGTAGAAAATGTTTAGGTTTTTGTAGATATTTTAATTCGATTCAATTCGATTTATTCCATCGAATTTTCCAACGAATTGAAAACTGTACATAGTTTTGCGTAGAAGTTGAGACAATTATGAATACCATAAAGAAATGAATAAAATCAAGACAGTTCTGATTTCATCGCTAGAAGACCTTTTGAATTAGACACGAGGTGTTCCATCTTGGTTCTCAGGAATGCAACGCAACTAAATTTTGATTCTTAATCGAGGATAAATGTAAAAAGCATCCATTTACCGTCAGGTGGACTTTGCGTAAGTTTGTCACCCTTATTGTATAAACAAAGGATTTGGTACAAATAATACCAAAATCATTTAAGTGTGTTCTAGACGGTAAGCTCATTTATACTGCAACAACACAGCGCTATGACACGCGCTCAATAGGTAAAGGTAGTATGTATAATATTATTAAAAAGTTAAAATAGGCACTGATAAAAAGTTAAAATATGTCCTATGTGAAACGAAAAAGTAGGTATACCCCACCTTATAAAACCAATCGATTTTTGAAATAGATCCAGATAGAAACACAGTAAAAAACCAATCACTGTTTAAACTTCAAAGAAATACCGAACAAAATGATGTGGCAGGCGAAGCGTCAGTCAATTTCTTTTTGTTAAATCAACAGACAACTAAAGAGACGTCATTGTAAAATGTTTTAACCAAAACGTAGGTTTGGAATTCTTGCAAGTATACAGTGATCTCTAATCTGTTTCTTCTATCTCAAAAAGGTCATCCTTTCATAGAGTTAGACATCAACAATATCTCAGAAGTTTTTACCTCATAAAAATGTTAGGTTGAGTCAGCTAAGGTTATAAACCCTTTTGATAGAAAACAACAGCGTCTCAGAACTTTTATTTCCTTATAAGATACAATATCCACAGCACCTATATGATAAACAGTTCACAGGGTGTAAATAATATAAGCTATTCCGAAATATTACTGCTTAACGTGACTGAGTCAAAATGGCGTTTAGCGTAAAGTTTAATACGAGCGCGAAAAAACTCTATTGCTGAATACATATTCATAACAGAAGTTTCCAGGTGTCGCAATTGGCAATTGAATATGTTTCTTGGTGATCGATCGTAGAGTATAATTTATGGTCCTAGGTTCTAAAGAATAAGACCGGGGATGCTGCCGACAAGAACAATTATAGACCGATTTCGGTAGCTACTGTGATAGCCAAAGTATTGGATGGTTTGCTTGATCGTCGAATAAGTAAACATATACAGGTACATGAGGCACAGTTTGGGTTTATACCTGAACTGTCCACTGAAGCTGCAATCTTGCGACTCAAGCATACCGTCCAGTATTATGTTACGAGAAAAACGCCTGTCTACGCCTGTTTTTTGAACTTGTCGAAGGCTTTTGACCTGGTCTCGTGCAACCTATTATGGGATAAGCTTCGGAGGGAAATGAGTACGCCTAGTGAGATAGTCGATATATTAAGGTATTGGTACCACAACCAATCAAATAATGTAAGGTGGGCATGTTCATACTCAAGTGAATATATGTGGAGTCAGACAGGGGGGTTTAACTTCACCGAGCCTTAATGATTTCTTATATGATTAAAACTACTTTTACGGATTTTATCGCGTTTATTTTTACTTTTTATTTACTTTTATTTTTAATTCCCGACGTTTCGGGCGCTTTCCAGCACCCATGGTCACGGGGGACTGAGATGACTGATGTCCCGATGTCATTGTTAAACCCGGAGTACCTTCAGCTTTTTTAATTAAACGTCGGGAATCAAAAATAAAAGTAAATAAAAAGTAAAAATAAACGCGATAAAATCCGTAAAAGTAGTTTTAATCATGTATAGTGTTCGCGTAAATATAAGAAATCATTATGATTTATATTTACGCGATCATTATATTTACGCGAACACTACAAATTGAAATAATACTAGTTTTTACGGATTTTATCGCGTATATTTAACTATAAATACCCGACGTTTCGAGCGCTTTACAGCACCCATGGTCACGGGGAGGACTGAGATGTTCAACGTCCAAATGTCATAGTTAACAGCGGTTACCATAGATAAAAATTTTACTTTTGTTCCGATCTACACAGTATGAACTTATGGTATCTTGAAGTCTTGCAGTTGTATGCTTGGGTTGGGATTTAATTTTATTTATTATAGGATCCCAAGCAGATGGTAGCACCCAGCCATCTTCTCTATTGAAATTATTTATTTATTAACATTAATTTTAAGTTTATATTATTTATTACTAACAAATTATGGAGCTTGTATCCGAAATAAAATTATTATTGTTATAATTATATCAAGTTTGATAGACCACCAATCCTCGCTAAAGAACACCGATTCCTTCCAAGAATGATTCGCGTGGCTACTGGAATCAATAAACATCCTAAATAACATTTCAATAGAGAAGAAGGCTGGGTGCTGCCATCAGCTTGGTATCCTGTAATTATTCAAATTAAATCCCAACCCAAGCATTCTCGAAAATATAAAAAAAATTAATATACGAGATATATTGCATAAAAATGGTTTTATATAAATATTAAGGAGAATATTTGACTGCGAGGTTAAATATCTTCTCTCAATAGCAGTCGTTCTCACAGCCTTTTTAACTTTGTCAAGTAGGTACTGACGTGGCTAACTCCAATTTTTCAAGATTTTTAATGACGTGTTGCGGTATAATACCTGTAGTTAAGAGGATAAGTGGTATTATAATTAGCTTATCCCGCCGCCACATTTACTTTACCTCTTAAGGAAGTGGTTTATAGTTTGTTATTTTTTCTGTGTAGTATTGTTGAATGATGTATGAGTTGGAAAGACCAATATCAATTAAATGGGTCCTCATCCTTTCTTTGTCAATCAGCACAATATCCGGCCGTTTATAGGAAATTGATCGATCCGTCAATATTGATCTCTTTTCGTTTTCTAATACAAGGCTCGGCCAGTATTTCCAGTACGTGATTTCTTTCTTTATGAGAGAGTAATTTTATTTATTATATCTATTATTATTTTTAGTTTTATTATTTGCTAAAATTCGCGACATGAAAATAGGGGTACAGGAAATTGAAGAAGCTATTATTGACCGGCCGCTCCCTGTCCATCGTTGCAGTGACACACTTAAGCGGCCCTATCTGCAACTCGTCGTCGCGAATCTCCACCCATCGCTACCTAGGCTCCGACCACTGGGGCGGTATGACGCACGGTGAATCAGTTGCATTTTCGTAGCACGTAGTAGTGCTTCTAGGACAATAGCTTAGCCCGCAACCGTTTTAACTTCACAGCTTCGTACTCATTTAAAACGCTGGCTTATGTTTCATACCTAGTTAGGTAGTTACCTGGTAGTTTTAAACATATTGTTACGAGCTTAAGGTTCGTGACAATAAAAACTGCCGATTGAAATACCAAAATTGATACTTTAATTACTGAACACCAATTAAAACTTAAATCACACTAATAATTAATCGCACTTAACACTTTAGTTCACTTTATTTCTCTCCAAAAGCTTTGCTCGTATCGCGAATTCAATATTGCCTTGGTCGCGGCCCTCAACGGCTTTAAATAGGCCTTTTCCACCGAAAAATCCAGAATATTCCAGCAAATACCGGACCCCGACCGAACAGGTGCAGAAAGTTCGAGTGTGGAGCTTCCTAGAAAGCTTTGTTCTTCCATTCGATACTAGATGACGCTAGTGGGAGAGTTCTAGAAAGATCTTGAAAAATATTTAATGTTGTATATTAAAAGGTATTAGTACATTTTATTTTCGTAATATATAAACTAAGAAATGCATTTATTTATTTTCAGAATGGCGAAGTTCTTTTAACACCAGTACGATTTCCCGTGATCGAAACTGATACATTAACAAGTGGCAAAACGAGTGAAAATATGTCCAGAACTGAAGCTTTAAATGGAGACCCCGATATCATTTTCAGTGGCGTACCGCAATTCAAGAAAGTAATGGAGATGTTGCTCCGAGATATTCAACGGGGTAATCATCTGTTGCTAGTCGATGATCGGGGACTGGAAAATAAGAAAATCGTGGACAGACTGTTACATCAATTGAATCACCCTACATTATACACAAAGTTGCACCGCGACGCAACGGAACAGTCTTTGATAGTACACCCAAATGTCAAAAATGGAACAGTCATTTACGAAGATTCACAACTCGTTAAAGCCGTTAAACATGGCTACGTGTTAGTTGTGGATGAAGCCGACCAAGCGCCAACAACAGTGACAAGCAGCTTAAACTCGTTAATGGAAAATGGAGAGATGGTACTAACCGATGGTAGAAGGATGAGTTCTAAGAAAATTATGAACAGATATGGAGGCAAACCATCTGGTATCATTCCCGTGCACGAAGATTTTAGAATGATAATCATGGCTAGTCAAACTGGATTTCCTTTCTTGGAATTAGAATCTCCTGCTTTTTTAGGTAACTTTCCAGTATTTATATGTTAAATCAACAAATTTTTCTATTTACTTGTAGTATTTGCAATTTGAATTGGTGGTAAAAGCAATATTACTTTTTGTACTTTACACATTTTACTGATACCGGTCCTGAGTTTTCGAGATATTACTCCACTATGAGATATATGTAATATATGCAGTGCCAGAAGCTAACAAATGATTGAAGCTTTCCCTTGTCGATATTTCAATTCACGTTGTGGAGTAACGCTGCGGTTGAAGCATGAAAATACGGCAAGAACCTTAAAGAACCAAGTTCTAACAGCTAGATAGCAGAATAATGCTCTTTAGTAATTTTTATGGTAAGAGACGAGAACCGGAGACCTTGTTTACTGGTCTTAATTCCCAAAGGTTATAAGGTATATGGATTTTAACTTTTAACTAAAAATAGATGTAGGTGTCTACTGCCTACAGAATTCACCTACAAACAGCACGTTAACTGTGGTTAGTATGTGACAATTCATGCGATTTAGGAGGGAATTCTGCAGAGAGACTTAATATGTGAGTCGAAAGTAAACATGAACTAATGTTATTAGCAAGTCAAGGATTAAAGAATTCACTTACTATCAGCAGATGAAGGTACGTGAGTGGCTCGCGACTGTCCATGCGATATAGTCGGCAAATATTAAGGAGGGTGGAATAGATAAGAATATTTTTAATTCAATATAGATAAGAAATAAATCTTACTTAAAGTCATTTTCTACATTTACTATTGGTTTGGGAGAATACCTCTAATTATTGATTTAGACAGGAAATCTTCAGCGGGTTTATTGGGGGAATATATGTGTTGAATTATAAACGACCAATTGTAATCGATGTTTGTCTTAATAGCAGGTCTCGAGGACAGAGGTTTGCTCAACTTCAGTTCGCCTGCACACCCAGAAAATCGTTCTAACCGCCGCCGACTTGTTCCTTGTATGTGTGTTGTGAAATTTTTAATTTAAGTATATTAGTAGAAGTTATTTAATACGACTAAGTACAATTCGTAAACAGCAATTTTAATGAATTTCTATGAAATGTCTCATAATTTTAGTTCCTATAGATTCCTTTATCATTGCAGCATTAACAAGTAGTGAGATGGGAATCGTCGCCAAAGCAGGCAGCTCTAACCCAGCGTTAACCACTCTCGTGACGAGCGGCCATCCTACGGGACCATATAGTGCTACAGCAATAGCCTCGGGGTCAGCAGTCGCCACTGCAACAGCATTGACCTATGGTACGGGAACCTCGACTGCTACGGCAATTGCTGACGGCTCATCAGTTGCCACCGCTACAGCACGCTCATATGATGCAGGAGTAGCCACTGCCACAGCAGACACTCATGACTCATCATCTGCCGAAGCTACAGCACATGCATACGACAAAGGAATCGCCACCGCCATAGCAAACGCTTCTGGCTTTAAAGTCGTCAAGGCCAAGGCAATCGCCAAAGGCACCGAAGTCATTACCGACACACAAACTAGGCCCTTAATTTAAGTATATTATTAAGTTGTAAGAAATTTTTAACATCTTATAAAATGTAACGAATTTATATATATTAAAGGACAGCGGTTTATATAATATATTTCTTATATCGTCTTTAACCAGTCAAATAAGCAGTCACAAGTAGAAAATGTTTAGGTTTTTGTAGATATTTTAATTCGATTCAATTCGATTTATACTATCGAATTTTCCAACGAATTGAAAACTGTACATAGTTTTGCGTAGAAGTTGAGACAATTATGAATACCATAAAGAAAGGAATAAAATCAAGACAGTTCTGATTTCATCGCTAGAAGACCATTTGAATTAGAAACGAGGTGTTCCATCTTGGTTCTCAGGAATGCAACGCAACTAAATTTTGATTCTTAATCGAGGATAAATGTAAAAAGCATCCATTTACCGTCAGGTGGACGCGTAAGTTTGTCACCCTTATTGTATAAAGATAGTTACAAAGGATTTGGTACAAATAGTACCAAAATCATTTAAGTGTGTTCTAGACGGTAAGCTCATTTATACAGCAACAACACAGCGCAATGAGACGCGCTCAATAGGTAAAGGTAGTATGTATAATATTATTAAAAAGTTAAAATAGGCACTGATAAAAAGTTAAAATATGTCCTATGTGAAACGAAAAAGTAAGTATAACCCCACCTTATAAAACCAATCGATTTTTGAAATAGATCCAGATAGAAACACAGTAAAAAACCAATCACTGTTTAAACTTCAAATAAATACCGAACAAAATGATGTGGCAGACGAAGCGTCAGTCAATTTCTTTTTGTTAAATCAACAGACAACTAAAGAGTCGTCATTGTAAAATGTTTTAACCAAAACGTAGGTTTGGAATTCTTGCAAGTATACAGTGATCTCTAATCTGTTTCTTCTATCTCAAAAAGGTCATCCCATCATAGAGTTAGACATCAACAATATCTCAGAAGTTTTTACCTCATAAAAATGTTAGGTTGAGTCAGCTAAGGTTATAAACCCTTTTGATAGAAAACAACAGCGTCTCAGAACTTTTATTTCCTTATAAGATACAATATCCACAGAACCTATATGATAAACAGTTCACAGGGTGTAAATAATATAAGCTATTCGAATTATTAATTATAAATTATTGATATAGTTTTAGCAATACATCAATACCTGTATAATTAAATTTTAAATCTCGATACATGTTAAGCTCAGGGTAAAGCAAAACATCCCAACATATATATTAAATTTTTCTCTAAAAGTGTATTAAATTTTTCACATAATGACCTCAATATTGAGCACATGCAGTATGCGGGAGTTCATCTGCTTGGGTATTGACTATGCTCTTTAATGTATGTGTAGGGCATGAATACTTACCTCAGAAACTTATGAAGACCATAGGTTCTAAAGAATAAGACCGGGGATGCTGCCGACAAGAACAATTATAGACCGATTTCGGTAGCTACTGTGATAGCCAAAGAATTGGATGGTTTGCTTGATCGTCGAATAAGTAAACATATACAGATACATGAGGCACAGTTTGGGTTTATACCTGAACTGTCCACTGAAGCTGCAATCTTGCGACTCAAGCATACCGTCCAGTATTATGTTACGAGAAAAACGCCTGTCTACGCCTGTTGTTTGAACTTGTCGAAGGCTTTTGACCTGGTCTCGTGCAACCTATTATGGGATAAGCTTCGGAGGGAAATGAGTACGCCTAGTGAGATAGTCGATATATTAAGGTATTGGTACCACAAACAATCAAATAGTGTAAGGTGGGCATGTTCATACTCAAGTGAATATATGTGGAGTCAGACAGGGGGGCTTAACTTCACCGAGCCTTAATGATTTCACAATTAACGAACGTTTTAAAAACAAAAAAAAGAAGAAAAATTATATTTACGCGAACACTACACATTGAAATAATACTAGTTTTTACAGATTTTATCGCGTATATTTAACTATAAATACCCGACGTTTCGAGCGCTTTACAGCACCCATGGTCACGGGGAGGACTGAGATGTTCAACGTCCAAATGTCATAGTTAACAGCGGTTACCATAGATAAAAATTTTACTTTTGTTCCGATCTACACAGTATGAACTTATGGTATCTTGAAGTCTTGCAGTTGTATGCTTGGGTTGGGATTTAATTTTATTTATTATAGGATCCCAAGCAGATGGTAGCACCCAGCCATCTTCTCTATTGAAATTAGGATTTTTTTATAATACCTCATCATCCAATTTTCTTTAGCGAGGATTTGTGGTCTATCTTTTTCTTGTATATTTATTAACATTAATTTTAAGTTTATATTATTTATTACTAACAAATTATGGAGCTTGTATCCGAAATAAAATTATTATTGTTATAATTATATCAAGTTTGATAGACCACCAATCCTCGCTAAAGAACACCGATTCCTTGACCAAGAATGATTCGCGTGGCTACTGGAATCAATAAACATCCTAAATAACATTTCAATAGAGAAGAAGGCTGGGTGCTGCCATCAGCTTGGTATCCTGTAATTATTCAAATTAAATCCCAACCCAAGTATTCTCGAAAATATAAAAAAAATTAATATACGAGATATATTGCATAAAAATGGTTTTATATAAATATTAAGGAGAATATTTGACTGCAAGGTTAAATATCTTCTCTCAATAGCAGTCGTTCTCACAGCCTTTTGAACTTTGTCAAGTAGGTACTGACGTGGCTAACTCCAATTTTTCAAGATTTTTAATGACGTGTTGCGGTATAATACCTGTAGTTAAGAGGATAAGTGGTATTATAATTAGCTTATCCCGCCGCCACATTTACTTTACCTCTTAAGGAAGTGGTTTATAGTTTGTTATTTTTTCTGTGTGGTATTGTTGAATGATGTATGAGTTGGAAAGACCAATATCAATTAAATGGGTCCGCATCCTTTCTTTGTCAATCAGCACAATATCCGGCCGTTTATGGGAAATTGATCGATCCGTCAATATTGATCTGTCCCGGTAAACCTGTAATTTATCGTTTTCTAATACAAGGCTCGGCCAGTATTTCCAGTACGTGATTTCTTTCTTTATGAGAGAGTAATTTTATTTACTATATCTATTATTATTTTTAGTTTTATTATTTGCTAAAATTCGCGACATGAAAATAGGGGTACAGGAAATTGAAGAAGCTATTATTGACCGGCCGCTCCCAGTCCATCGTTGCAGTGACACACTTAAGCGGCCCTATCTGCAACTCGTCGCCGCGAATCTCCACCCATCGCTACCTAGGCTCCGACCACTGGGGCGGTATGACGCACGGTGAATCAGTTGCATTTTTGTAGCACGTAGTAGTGCTTCTAGGACAATAGCTTAGCACGCAACCGTTTTAACTTCACAGCTTCGTACTCATTTAAAACGCTGGCTTATGTTTCATACTCCTGGTAGTTACCTGGTAGTTTTAAACATATTGTTACGAGCTTAAGGTTCGTGACAATAAAAACTGCCGATTGAAATACCAAAATTGATACTTTAATTACTGAACACCAATTAAAACTTAAATCACACTAATAATTAATCGCACTTAACACTTTAGTTCACTTTATTTCTCTCCAAAAGCTTTGCTCGTATCGCGAATTCAATATTGCCTTGGTCGCGGCCCTCAACGGCTTTAAATAGGCCTTTTCCACCGAAAAATCCAGAATATTCCAGCAAATACCGGACCCCGACCGAACAGGTGCAGAAAGTTCGAGTGTGGAGCTTCCTAGAAAGCTTTGTTCTTCCATTCGATACTAGATGACGCTAGTGGGAGAGTTCTAGAAAGATCTTGACGCTCCTATTTCTGCTGCTTGATACCAGATGGCGGTAGTGCCATCAGCTGTGGTGTGCAACAATATTATATTTTAATAGTATAATTAAAATAGTATAATTTAAACGAATTTTGAAATTATATAATAGAAAATTATCTGGTCTCATACAAATTTTCTTTTAATTTTATTCGCCGCTTTAGACCAAATAATTATCTTAGTAATCGTTCTGCAGTCAATAAATGCATTATTTACATCCGAGGTAATTTCATAAAGATGATAAAATTCATTCGCTACATAAAGAAATATGTCACGAAATATATCCCGATGTAAAAAAATCCGCTCAATTAAATAATAAGAAAGCGATGCCTTTAACTGATTTAAATATGTAAAATCAATGAAGCAAGATATTCATCATATTCACAGTCTATCAAAGTCATCATAAACCCACTGCTGAACACAGGTCTCCCCGTAGACTGCCTCGTAAGAGAAATATTCTTCATAGTTGCCACGCTTGACTGATGGGTTTGCAACCACAGTGTTTTATTTTCTAGTTGTGTCCATTTATACGTGGTAGAGCCATGCTGCAGTTATATTAGATGTATAGTTGTAGCACGAATGGGTCGGCTCGACCGGGGAAGGACCACGCTCTCATAGAATACCAGCGTGAAATAGTAGCTTAATGCTGCTGTGTTTCGTATGGTGAGTGTAGAGAACCGGAGACCCTTTTTACTGGAAACGAGGCATTCCATCTTAGTCCTCACGGGTGACAACGCATCTGCATTTTGATTCGTAATTGAGGATAGATGTAGATGTCTATGGGCCACAGCAACCACTTACCATCAGGTGGACTGTGTGCTAGTTTGTCACCCTATCCTATTAAAAAAAATTGTTTGGGTTCTTTTGTTGCCTCTTACGACATCTGTGGCACGATATATATGGTAGTGGATATTCTTACATACTACACTTGAACTCGATCGAAGAAATGGTAAAGGATGAAATAGAAAGATGCTCGAATAGCATTATACCGACAAACGCTCTGTTAAGAGATGAAGGTAGTTTAAGTTCATGGTTTTTGTTGCAATATGTGGGCCAATATTTAGCAATTGATATGTTTTGAGATGACAGGGACACGCTAATAAAATGTTGCGATAAATGAAACCTTAAAAGTATACGATTTAAATAAATACCCTTGCACATTTTTGCAAGAGCATATCAATTGATGAATTAAAAATTTAAAAAGAAAAAATATTTTTACATTTATTCTCGTGTTTTACATTTGTTGGCAAATTCTAGACAACATTTTTTTCGCATATTATCCCCAGCAATTCTTTATTGAAACAGCGTATAGTTCAAATTATAATAAACTTTACAAAAAAGACTTGCCACAGAAGAATTAACATTTCTCTACGTACAAGAACGATCTGCACGGTTAATATAAATTACGAAATAGAGTATCCTGAACCAGAGGAGCTTAATAGCATTAAAAGTTTAGTTTTCAACATCTATATAGGCATTAGGCATAGCGATTAATACAAGTGTTCAGTTTGAAACCTGATAATACGTATAAAGTACGTACGTTATACGTTGTAGAGCCGAGCTGCAGCTTCATTAACATTGTGACATAAAAAGGTCGGCTCGACCTGGGAAGGACAACGCTTTCTATTATTACCTTTTCAAATTTTTTTTTATAGGATAGGGTGACAAGCGAGCACACAGTCCATCTGATGATTAGTAGTTGCTGTGGCCCATGGACATCTACATATATCCTCGATTACGAATCAAAATGCAGATGCGTTCTCACCCGTGAAGACTAAGATGGAATGCCCCGTTTCCAGTAAAAAGGCTCTCCGGTTCTCTACACTCACCGTACGAAACACAACAGCATTAAGCTACTATTTTACGCTGATATTCTGTGAGAGCGTGGTCCTTTTCCTGTAGAGTCGACGCATTCGTGCTACAACTATACTATTAATATACTGCAGCATGGCTCTACCAAGTGTTAGCTCGTATTCTAGTTTAAAACTTAGCCTAATGCTGTTGTATTTCTAACGGTGAGTGTAGAGAAATGAAGACACTTTACTAGAAATGACGAATTTCATCTTAGTCCTCAAAGACGACAACGCGTCTACTTTTTAATTCTTATTAGAATTATCCAGAATAGGTGTAGATGTCTACGGGCAAAACAATCCACTTACCATCAGGTGTCCTCGTGTCACCCCTAAATCATAAAATGAAATGTTAACAATAGCGATACCAAAATAAACATTTATTCAAGGCTATCGAAATATATTTCACTAGGAAAATAGCTCTTTTTATAACCTTTTAATAGTTTTGACCGCATTCTTCATCGCACCGTCTTGAGGCCTTATAGGAGAAGGCCGTGACATATTAATACAAATAAAAAAAAAATTAAGTGTTTGTTTGTGATGTCAAAATACCGGTTTTTACTAAATGCACGTGAAATGATATACGATGCTATCTATTTGTTTCGGCTAACCTCTGATATGGCTAGATCTACTTTGACAGAATTATCACTGGCAGATATCTTATATTATAAGGAAGTAACTAAGGCTTCTTTTAAATTGAAAAAGGAATTAGAATTCCTTGCAAAAAATAATTAAAATCCATAAAATCAATTCACAATAATTACGACGCGGTCAAGATCAGAAGATCAGATCAATTGCTGTCCGTTAGTCTCGCTGAAACACAAAACCGACTTGACCGAGATTTCTGAAAATTTTTGTGTAAGATTGAATCGGTCCCTAGAAGGTTTAGATCCACATTTGGACTCGGTAGGTGGCGCTGTTGTCGACATCCAGAAATCACCTGTGCGAATCCGGGGCGGATCGCTAGTATTTATTTCAATTTTTGCACGATTTTTTTATCTGATGCAGTGTTTATTTGATTCACGTGGAATAAGCGCCGACTGCTATTAAATTCTTGCGCTCCTGGATTTCCATGGATAAAAGCAGCCCGAAAAATATTAAACGACCAACACACCTGGCAAGAGCGATATACCTCGCGAGACCAATATATTTTTTCTATATTTTGCATAAATGTGAGAATGTGAACGATGAGGCGGTTGAATGTAGAAGTTTGAGTAACTATTTCAACGTGCTGTCACAAGGATCTCAAATGAGGAAACTCCTGAGTGAGAGACACATCATTAATATATTGGTCAAGATCGGTTCAATATACCAACTTAATTATACGATATTTTTCACTTTGTTAATACCTTTAACTTGATGAATTTTATTTAAAATGATTAGCTGTAACAGAAGCGAAATTACTGTTCTATATTTATATATTAATTTATTTGTTCATTCATAATATGTCTTGACCAGACCACTGCTAAACATAGGTCTTCCTCAAGCAATGTTGCCTAACAAAATAGAATCTTTCTGAATTGCTAGTAATTGTTGGAGGGGAATGGAACATGACATTATATCTTTTGACATTTATATGAAAAAACAAAAATGGATATAAGTAATAACAATGGCATCTGAAGATCATTTCTCGAAAGAGTCGTAACAGTGTATTAGCTCGACCGTTTGAATTTAGGCAAATAACTAACCTGAAAAGTTATATGCTGCCAACAGGGCTATCCGGCAATGTAAATTACTAGCCACGGTTTGCAAGAAAATGTAACTTTAAGACCATTAAATCAAAAATATTGCAAGAGCCTATTTATACAATTCACTATAATTAGTTTTTATGAATTAAGCGTCCGCAACACAGAACAGATTATTCGGTTAATGCCGTCCGCATATATATGCACCAGTACGACGCTAGGGCTATACGTGATACTGCCCTATCATAAGAACCTTCTTGCCTAAAAATGTACTAACACCTTATCGAGCGACAAAGCGCGGCTCCGTGGTGCAGTGGCTTAGCAAATGGCCGTGGTTTCGAATCCCGCATGTAACAAGTATTTACATACATAAACACTCACGCCTGTCACCCAGAGGGGTAGGCAGAGACTACAGATTTCCATTTGGCACGATCCTGACACACCTCTCTCGCCTCCTTCACATACATACACCTACCCATAAATGCTCGTCGGTTATGGGTACTCCTAATTTGGCCCGTTTCCAATGAATCGCCAATTTGGTCGATACATTTTCGCCTAGGACGTCCCTTTCCGACTCTGCCATTCACTTCTGCAACATAAATTTTCTTTGTCACTCTTTCCTCATTCATTCTTTCCACATGACCAAACCACCGAAGCATTCCTTTCTTAATCCTGGTCACAACATCATCTTGCAAACCACACTCTTCTCTTATTACATAATTTCTTACCCTGTCATTCAGATTCAGCCCTAACATACTCCTTAACGACCGCATTTCTACAGCGTTTATTCTACTCTCGTGCTTCTTCTGCCACACCCAACTTTCACTACCATACGTTAAAGTAGGAACCAACACAGCATTGTGAATTGCCATACGTGCCTTTTTCGACACATTTTGACTCTTCACAATAGAGTGCAAGGCCCCATTTACTCTATTTCCCGCATTCACTCGTCGTTCTATATCCTTATCATATCTCCCATCCCTGCTAAATACGCAGCCCAAATATACAAACTCATCTACTTGCTCGATCAATTCCCCTTCTATTCTTATTCTTCTTCTTCTATCTTTCTAATAATATTTGTATTTGCCAAAACCAAAAAATAAATAAATCAAGATGTTTGTTCTTGTGAAATTTATCTATCTAAACTGTAACCACGATACAGGAGAAAATTCGGAAAAATGTGAAGGTAGCGTTTATATAAAAAAAGATCTTGTGGCTAAAGTAGCTTAAGACTAGCTCATACGTTTATTTATTTATTTAACTATTAAGAAAATAGGCTGGAAATATTTAGGTAGTAAAGACACGCCGCAGCTATATTAAAATTGTAGTACCTATAAGTCGACTCAACCGGGGAAGGACTATGCTCTCACAGAATACTACAGCGTAATATAGCAGCTTAATTCTGCTTTGTTTCGTATGGTAAGTGCAGAGAACAGGAGACCCTTTTACTGGAAACGAGGCATTTTATTTTTTCCTTTAGAGGTAACATCACCTCTGATTTTTATTCTTAACCGAGGATAGATGTATATGGGCTATAGCATCCACTTACCACCTCACTTGTCATCCTAATACTATAAAAAAATAATTTTGAAGATTGGTTTCACCTTCAATAAGCTACTTTGTTTAATAAAGAATATAAAGGATATAACGTAAATATGTGATTCGAAAATCTTTTCGCTACTTAAGTAAAGCGGTAGAGTCCTCAAAAATTTACTTGGAAAACCTCTTTCTAATAATAATTTTGGCGGCTGCGGATATCATTAATCTTTACAGGGCTATTACTGCATTTGGGAACATTCGTATTTCACCAAACTTTGTTTGGGTATCAAAAATATCCCAAAAACTATGCTAGAAAAGTAGTATGCATCACAGGATTTATGCAAGCAGAACATCGCAATTAAGTACGAGTTTTATTTGATTGTACTACGTTGTTAACTCTCGTCTGCCAGAAAGAGCCAACTGTCAAAGCTGAAGACTGAGTGTGGCAGCATCGTTTCCGGGACACCTGAGATTTTGAGTGAGATTGAGATGTTCTATGGACAGCTGTAAACATCATCGTTAGAGCCTCACGCAAGTGTGAGTAACGATCCAAGAGCAAGTCTTATCCGACACTATTCCGATGATATCCCGGACGTTAGTCTGAGCGAGATTAGAATGGCTCTCCAGCACCTTAAAATGGCAGGGCCACAGGCGAGGATGGTATTACAGCGGAACTTCTGAAAGCGGGTGGAGCACCGGTACTTGAAGTTCTTCAGAAGCTCTTAAATTCCGTCTACTATGGTGGCACTACTCCGGAGGCGTGGAGCAGAAGTGCGGTGGTCTTGTTCTTTAAGAAAGGCAACAACGCTCTCTTGAAGAACTACAGATCGATTTCCCTTCTGAGCCGCGTCTACGTGCTGTTTTCGAGAGTCATTACGAATCGTCTCGCACGCAGACTCGACGACTTCCAGCCTCCCGAACAAGCTGGTTTCCGAAAAGGCTTCAGTACCATAGACCACATACATACCCTGCGGCGGATTGTACAGAAGACCGAAGAGTACAATCTGCCACTTTGCCTGGCGTATGTGGAGTATGAGAAAGCCTTTGATTCCGTCGAAATTGGGCGGTGCTACAGTCCATTCAGCTGTACCAAGTTGACCGTCGGTATATCGAAGTGCTGAATTATTTGTACAGTAGGGCTACGATGACTATCCGAGTACAGAACCAGAGTTCTAAACCTATCAAACTGCAGAGAGGTGTAAGAAGGAGTGACGTTATATCCCCGGAACTCTTAACCGCTGCATTGGAAGACGTTTTCAAGCTACTGGACCGGAAAGGATACGGTATTGACATCAATGGCGAGTACACCACTCACCTTCGATTGGCCGACGATATAGTCCTAATGGCAGAATCGCTGGAGGACCTAAGCGCTATGCTCAATGACCCTAATAGTGTGTCCCAACGGATAGGTCTTAAGATGAACATGAACAAAACAAAGATCATGTTTTATGCCCATGTCACACCTATGCCGGTAGTTGTTGGGAGCACTTTGCTCGAAGTTGTTGACGATAAGTCTGCAGTTTGTGATCATATCCTAGACGGCCCCAACCATTACATCAGATTTGATAGAACACAAATTCTCGCGAAAGAACACCGATTTTTACCAAGGATGATACGTGAGGCTATTGAAATTCAAAAACACCCTAATTTCTATAGAGAAGGGAGCTGGGTACTATAACCTGCTTGTGACCCTATAATCAATATAATTAAAACTAAACCCAAGCACACAACTGCAAGACTTCAAGATAGCTTAAGTTCATACTGTGTAGATCGGACCATAAACAAGAAATAAAAAAGCTGAAGGTACCCCGGGTTTAACAATGACATCGGGACGTCAGTCACCTCAGCCCCCCATGACCATGGGTGCTGGAAAGCGCCCGAAACGTCGGGAATATAAAAATATAATTAAAAGTAAATTATACGCGATAAAATCCGTAAAAGTAGTTTTAATCAATGTGTAGTGTTCGCGTAAATATAAGAAATCATTATGTAAAACTAAGAATAAATAGAAAATAAGAACAAAACTTATTCAATAATGCGATGAAAATTTATTCCTGTATTTGTTTTTTTTTTTATTAACGTTTACGTTCTAGACGTAAATTTATACTGACAGCCCCAGACCTAAATACTTCTTTATCTTTAAGGGCATCCGACATATTTGTAGCGTTGTCATCTTCGACCTTGTGCGTAGTTTGTGTAACTGTATATAAGTGCAAATTACGTTCGGTATACTTCAGTATTTACTTTACCTGTAAAAAATAAAGTTTTGTGCTTTAAATATTTACACTAAATAAACTGTCGCAAAAAGATTTAAGTTTGTGGCGAAGTCATTTCAGCGCATTATACGAAACTATAAAGCGTTTACGCTCAAATCATAATGATTTTGCCGTTTGCATTGATTCTCAACAGCTTCGTGTAAGTAGTTCTAAAACTTTAGTGCAGAAGCAGAGTGTTTTGAAACTTAATCACTTGTGGCCTGCCAAGGGACACAGAAATATAAGAGCGCAATAATTTTATCCTTAAAGATAATTTAAATGAATACATGACCTTTATTGGTTTTCCTTGCGTCGACGCTTTCCAAATTTTTTGATATACCTACACTATAATGATTAAATGTCAGAAAAGTTATTGGTGAGGCTAGTTTCAATTAGTGTACATAGAATTTCATAAAATTAACCGCACTAATAACTTTGTCAACCCCAGTCAACTACGAATATCGTACATTTGTGTTTTTTAGTTTTTTTTCCCGTTGTATACACTTAATGATTTATTTTTTTGACTTATTTATGAATTTGTTGTAGAATATTGACCCTTGCCGAACCACCTTCATTAGATAGTGAACAGCTACGTTTAACGCCGAAGGTAATCAATCTTTTAATATTTTACGATATGCATAATATCAAAAATATTATTAATATTATTATTATTTTTAAATCTATAAACAATAATAATTTTCGTGGGAGGTAAAAAAGAAGACAACTATGTATGATAAAAACACCTAAATTGTTTACGAGTGTACGAAAGGATATGGAGAAAAAAGATACCAAATTTAACATTTATTTTAATAAAGAGTAGTTTTTTTTTTAATTTTTTGGAGATACGGTGTTGATGTATAACATCATTTACAACACTATACGGTGTGCATCACTATTTCGTGATCATTACTTCCATAAAGCTATTTATATATTAAAAATTTTCCCAGGTCAAATCTGTATTTAGATTTGCAAATTATTAGCAATATAGACGACAAATGGCTCTGAAAAACTTTGAAGCCGTGGACCTTTTGAACAAAATTGTCTCTGAAACTATACTTTTCAAAGATGGCCTCATGCTCCCACAATCCTTGTTGATTTTGCCATAGTCGCCACACTTGGCAGGCGAGTTGGCATCCGCAGCCGCAACTAAAGATTTGCATCAGGAAGTCGCTGGTGATTTCTTTTCCTCTGTCATCTTTTGTGACATCCGCGAGACGATATGGGGTTATGGATATATAGGACGTTGACATGTATGCTATTGATACCGTAGTGTTAGAGTGAGAAAAATATTACGCGAGAATTATCAAGTGGGAGACGTAAATTGTATTTTATATTGTCTTGTAAACTTATATCTCATAAACTTATCTTTAAATTCGTAAATTTAAGAAATCATTATTTAAAATTCGTTGTGCATATAACACTATTTAGAAAACCTGAGCCCATTAAAATAATGCAACAACACCCGTTTACTCTACAGTTGAATGTAATAGCGGCGGAGGTCCTAGCAGAGTGTGGTGTCGCGGAACATTTATAATTTATTCCACCCACCCCACTCTTACAGAAAATATTTTTTCCGCTTTAAGCATCTGCAGTTTCCTTTCTTTTATCAAGTAGTAAGCACAGGGCAGATGTTGCACAAAGCAGGCGTTGATCTTACCACAAGGCTGCCGGCAGCGTCGGGCAATATTGTGTATGAAAAGACTTTATACAGTGACCGAAAAAATTCCTGACGAGTTTTTTTATCAATTGTTTTTGTCACGTATTAACGATTAAGAGTTAACACTCTATATTTTTCCAGACGGTAAAAAAATCAGCCAGTACTTTAAAAACTTTTTGACAGTTACTAAAAATTAAAAAAAATATGTTGTATATTATAATGTGTTAATACATTTTTTTTCATAATATATTACCTAAAGAAATGCATTTATATATTTTTAGTATGGCGAAGTTCTTTCAACACCAGTACGAAGTACTATGTACGAAAATGAAGCATTAACAAGTGGCAAAACAAGTGATAATAAGTCTAGAACTGAAGCTTTAAATGGAGACCCCGATATCAATTTCAGCGACTTACCGCAATACAAAAAAGTAATGGAGATGTTGCTCCGAGATATTCAACGGGGTAATCATCTGTTGCTAGTCGATGATCGGGGACTGGAAAATAAGAAAATCGTAGACAGACTGTTACATCAATTTGAATCACCCTACATTATACACAAAGTTGCACCGCGACGCAACGGAACAGTCTTTGATAGTACACCCAACTATCAAAAATGGAACAGTCATTTACGAAGATTCACAACTCGTTAAAGCCGTTAAACATGGCTACGTGATAGTTGTGGATGAAGCCGACCAAGCGCCAACAACAGTGACAAGCAGATTAAACTCTTTAATGGAAAATGGAGAGATGGTACTAACCGATGGTAGAAGGATGAGTTCCAAGAAAATTATGGAACATATATGGAGGCAAACCATCTGGTATCATTCCCGTGCACGAAGATTTTAGAATGATAATAATGGCCAGTCAAACTGGATTTCCATTCATGGAATTCGACTCTTCAGATCCTTTAGGTAATTTTTCAGTATTCATAAGTTAAATCATCAAATTTTTCTGTTTACTTGTAGTATTTGCAATTTGAATTGGTGGTAGAGGAAAAATTATTTTTCGTACATTACGCATCTTACTGATACCGGTCCTGTGTTTTCGAGATATTACTCCACTGTCTGACAGAAGTTACCAAACCATTAAAGCTTTCCCCTGGCGACATTTAAATACACGCAGTGGAGCAACGCTGCGGTAGAAGCATTAAAAGTTTGCACGAACCTTAAAGAACCAAGTTCTTACAGATAAATAGCAGAATAATGCTCTTTAGTAATTTTTGTGGTAAGAGTCGAGAACCGGAGACCCTGTTTACTGGTCATAAGGCATTTAACCTTAATCCCCAAAGTTTTGTAACGGATATGCATTTTAACTTTTACTAAAATACATGTAGGTGTCTATGGCAGAATTGACTTACAACTAGCACATTAACTGTGGTTGGTACGTGGTAATTCATGCGATTCAGGAAGGAATTCTGCAGAGGGACTTAATATGTGAGTCGAAACTAAACATGAACGAATGTTATTGGCAAGTCAAGGATTACAGAATTCACTCACATCAGCAGGTAAAGGTAAGTGAGTAGATCGCGACTGTCCATGCGATATAGTCGGCAAATATTTCAGGGGCTGCAATAGATTAGAATATATTTTATTCAGTGTGGATAAGAAATAATTCTTACTTAAAGTGATTTTTTACAATTATCATTTGTTTGGGAGAATACCTGTAACTATTGATTTAGGCAGCAAAAATCTTCAGTGGGTTTATTGGGGGAATATATGTGTTGAATTATAAGCGACCAATTGTAACCGATGTTTATCTTAATAGCAGGTCTCGAGGACAGAGGTTCGCTCAACTTCAGTTCGCCTGCACACCCAGAAAATCGTCCGCACCGCCGCCGACTTGTTCCTTGTATGTGTGTTGTGAAATTTTTAATTTAAGTATATTAGTAGAAGTTATTTAATACGACTATGAGTACAATTCATAAACAGCAATTTTAATGGATTTCTATGAAATGTCTCATAATTTTAGTTCTTATAGATTCGTTTATCATTGCAGCATTAACAAGTAGTGAGATGGGAATCGTCGCCAAAGCAGGCAGCTCTAACCCAGCGTTAACCACTCTCGTGACGAGCGGCCATCCTACGGGACCATATAGTGCTACAGCAATAGCCTCGGGCACAGCAGTTGCCACTGCAACAGCATTGACCTTTGGTACGGGAACCTCGACTGCTACGGCAATTGCTGACGGCTCATCAGTTGCCACCGCTACAGCACGCTCATATGATGCAGGAGTAGCCACTGCCACAGCAGACACTCATGACTCATCATCTGCCGAAGCTACAGCACATGCATACGACAAAGGAATCGCCACCGCCATAGCAAACGCTTTTGGCTTTAAAGTCGTCAAGGCCAAGGCAATCGCCAAAGGCACCGAAGTCATTACCGACACACAAACTAGGCCCTTAATCTAAGTATATTATTAAATTATTAGAAATTTTTAACGTCTTATAAAATGTAATGAATTTATATATATTAAAGCCAGCAGTTTATATAATATATTTCTTATATCTTCGTTAACCAGTCAAATAATCAGTCACAAGAAGAAAATGTTTATTCAAATCGATTTATTCTATCGAATTTTCCAACGAATTGAAAAATGTATACCGTTTTGCGTAGAAGTTTAGACAATTATGAACACAACAAAAAAGGGAATAAAATCAAGACAGCTCAGATTTCATCGCTAAGAGACCATTTTAATTAGAAGTGAGGTGTTCCACCTTAGTTCTCAGGGTGCAGCCATGCAACTGAATTTTGATTCTTACTCGAGGATAAATGTATACGCCAAAGCATGCGTTTACCGTCAGGTGGACTATGTGCGATTTTGTCACCCTTATTGTATAAACATAGTTACAACTTTGGATTTGGTACAAATTTTACCAAAATAATTTGAATGTGTCCTAGACAGTAAGCACATTTATACACATACAACTGCTCCGTAAGCAAAATCACTAGCGCTGAAAATACCTATGAGAGTTAACCGACAAGTTATGTATTACTATGTACTAACTATGTAGCACTAACTTGTGCAAGAAAGATAGTTTAAAAAAAAATGACTATGAAATCTTATTTTTTAAACCTGGTCGCATCTAAAAGGCAGCTCCTTCTTCTCAAGTTTCAGACAATTCTGTGATTTTTTAAGAGCCTAGCTGAAAAAATCTTTAAGAACGTCTTTCATTCTTTAATCAGTTCAAATTTCCACTTAACTTCAGAAGCAAATCAAGTTTCATTGCAACAACACAGCGCAATGACACGAGCTCAATAGGCAAAGGGAGTATATACATATAATAATATTATAAAAAGTTAAAATATGCACTGATATAAGTCATATGTCAAACGAAAATGTATCCCATATCTTATAAAACCAATCGATTCTTGAAATAGATCCAGATGGAAAACACAGTACAAGAACCAATCATTGTTTAAACTTCAAAGAAATACCGAACAAAATGATATGACAGGTAAGCATCAGTCAATTTTTAAAAAGCTGCTATATGGCATTTTGCAGCTCCAGCCCATATTTTGCAGATGTTCTCCATGCTGGACCGGACTTGCGCTTTATATAAAGTAAGCAGCTGTCCCGGCGTGAAGTACCGCCGCACCTTTGCAAGTCATTTGCAAGGAATAATAATAATAATAATAATAATAATAACAGACAGGTTTATAGTTGCAAATAAACCTGACATTGTGGTGATACACCGAACTACACGCAAGGCAATAATAGTGGATATCAGTGTTCTTCATGACGAGAATCTCGTAAAAGCAGAGAATGATAAAAAATAAAATATATCGACTTGGCTCATGAGATTGTCGCTATGTCGGACGTTGATTCTACTATTATTGTACCAATAGTTGTATCAGTCAATGGACTTATTGGTAAAAATATGGACGATTATCTGTCCAAGTTAGGTTTGGGCAAATGGCTGAAAGCATTAATTCAAAAATCGTCCTTATTACATACGGCTCGAATAGTAAGAAGGTTCCTATCTTTGGATGCCTAACTTCACCGATGGCTTAGAATTCCTCGCCGCGGTGGATAATAGCCGAAATAATAATATTATTTATATAGATTGTATTTATATTTATAATATTATAGTTTTGTGATAATATATGTGATAATATAATAATAATAATATTCCACAACTATCACACAACGCCATCTAGTCCCAAGCTAAGCAGAGCTTGTGTTATGGGTACTAGACAACTGATAAACATACTTATACATTTCTAAATACATAAATATTATAGATAAATTACACCCAGACACAGAATAAATGATCGTGCTCATCACACAAACATTTGTCCTGGGTGGGAATCGAACCCACGACTTCCGGCATAGCAGTCAGGGTCACTAACCACTAAACCAACAGGCCTGTTCATTAGTAATATGTTTTTGTATAATCAAAATAATAAGATCATTAGTATTATGTTTTTGTATGTAGGTAAAGTGATACCATCGTCAAAGGTGCCGCTGCATTTTGATGGTGGTGGTCCCATTTGAGAAAAATTCCACCCTTATGGTTGTAAAAGAGGACATAAACTATGTGACATTGAGATTAATTGAGATTGTAATATTTCTTAGTCCACTCAATAGGGCGACGAAATCATTGACTAAAAACTAAAAGCCAACTCCAATAACTTAAAAAGAATAAAATAATTTCACATATTTGAAATCAGGATGTTAATTCTTCTATACACTATGTATTAGCACCTATTTCAGAACGTGAAACTATTTAATTATTTTCGTTTTTTAAGTTTATTAATATACAATCAAGTGACAAATCTTATGATAAAGCTAAAATATTGACCTCACCACCTTACTTTTCTTTTACTCACTTTTCCTTTTTATTGAAAGATTTTTTTATTAACAGGTTGGCTTGCTAGCACCTATAAATTTGGACACCTATGCATGACAGTATGTTGTTGATTATACATGCACTTGCCCCAAAATAACGGGTTTGAGCACTTCTTCTCAATCGTTTGTAATGTTTTAATAAGTTGTTGAATGTTAGTACTAACACACGTGCTTTTTATAACTTGTGTTCATAACAGGGTTGTCAGTTTGTGAAATTGCGTATAAAACTCTCTGATTGTTTAAGTTGGGATTTTTTTTGTAATTTAATTTTGTACTTTTTAGGGTTTAATTTTCAACTTATTTCTATGCATTCTATGTTCTAGGCGAAGGAGTGATTCAAAGATCATACACAATATTATCGCTATGACTGACTACTGACTGACTACCGACGCTCCAGGATGTATTCAGTTTGCGAACGTAATCAGGATGTCGAGTATGTTGGCTTGAATAGGCCGGAAACCAACCAACCAACCCAGACATTATAGATATGATGTCTGGGTTTACTACTATTAAAAATAAATATAGTAATAAAAAAATCAGTTAAAAATTGAGCTCACCACCGATTTCCAAGATTTTTAAGAACCTGATAATTTATAATGAAAAAAAAAAACTGAAGGAAGCCTGGGCTCACTGAGCGTCAATAAGAGGCTAGAATTTGTGGGCTATCAAATTTGTACGTATTCACAGACTTCACTTCACGGAGCATCGATTCTTCACATCAGCTGTGAACATTGATCCCGCATACTGCGGTTTTTAAATGATCTTTTAGTTTGTCTTATGTAAGAGAGACCACATTCACAATCAAGCTTGTACAGTCCTGAATTTTGTAGAGGGATATTGCCCTTGATTCATGGTAAAAACGGATTAGCTCGCTTCAAGATGTAGCCAATCTTGCCAGTGAAAACTCCGACATATAATAGTAGTACGGCAGCCACACGCTCGACTGTAGCCGGCTTCACTCGTTTACTGTGACTTAGATGCGGGACCCGAAGCTTTTTGTCGTGGAGAACTTGCTTGAAATGTTGGAGTTTGGTCGCCAGGTGTTTTACTATCACAGATCCCTCGTGCACTCTGAAACGAAGATTTTTTCACGGTAGCTAACTGTGAAGGATGGTAGTGAGAATCATCTTTTAAATATCTGTTGGTATGGGTTTTTTCTATACATTGTGTGGTTCAAGGTGTTATCAGGATCCCGAATAATAAGTTAAAATACGCGATAAAATTCGTAAAACATTTAAATATTAGTGTTCGCGTAAACATAATAAATCTTTATATCTAATTTTTTTACTAACAATTGTACTCTCAAAATCAATTTATACTGACAGCCCTGGATCTTAATATTACTTTATCTTTAATCGCCTGACCTTGTGCGTAGTTTGTGTTACTGTATATAAGTGCAAATTACGTTCGGCATACATCAGTATTGGCTTTACTCGTAAAAATAGGGCTTTGGATTTTAAATCTTTACACTAAATAAACAGTCGCAAGAAATATTTAAAATTGTGGCGAAGTGATTACAGCGCATCTTACGAAAATAAATCGATCCGTAAAGTGCTTACAGTCAAGTCATAATGATTCTGCCGATTGCATTGATTTTCAACAGTTTCGTGTAAGTAATTCTAAAGCCATAGTGCAGGGTGTTCGGTTTTTTGAGCGGCCACCTTTTGAACACAGAAATAGCGTGTGTTGATCAAGCGCACCGAACGTCCCGCGCTACTGAATGCTTTCCATCTGAACCTTATTAGACTTTATATCCGCGCTAATATTACAAACGCCAAAGTAGCTACTACTTTCTTATTTATACGTGATATACCTTTAAGCAGTTCAGAAGAAAGTTCTTAATGACTTTTTTTAAATGTTATGTAATAATTTATGATGTACTCGTATTGGAAATAAAGTTAACTTGCTATTAAAGTTAACAAGCGATTATTTGCTTCAATCAAAACTTCGAACAAGGATAAAGTTAAAAACTTAAACTCAATTACGACAAAAACGCTTTTTATTTTTATCATTTTGCAGTTAAGGATCGTATGCGGTAAGTATTTCATTTTCTAAAATTCAAGAAGTAGTCGTTGATTTGTAATTCGCTTCAGATTAGTCTATAATATAATAAGTAATAATGTGTAAATTTAGAATCCATATTATACCAATGGATACCAAACACGATAAGTGTATATTCCACCAAAATGGTAAATTTTTGCTTCAAAACTTAAGAAGAATAGATAATTTCACATTCTGAAGTCAGTGCTAAATGGATTATTGAATCGTGTGTTATATAATTCGGAATTTGTATATTATTTTTCTTCCGATTTTCCCCCCTCAGCTGTGTACAGTCATTTATAAAAACATGATAGGAACTCGTCCAATACTACTTAGTAGACATTAGCATATTTATAAAAATACATACTTATTTTGTCATTTGCCAAACAATCCTATAAAAAAAAACTTTGAATTGTTCAATTACATATCATTCGATGTGACATAATTTACCTTATTTTAGAGATACTAAAATACCTTTTATTGATGGATGTCTACTCAAAAATGACATTAGTGTTAGTCATTTCCTGGGAATATTGCAGAATTTATAAATTACTTATAATTATTTAAAACAAGGAAGTTTAATCTGGTTTAAATGGAATACGTAATATTATTTATGTTTTTTTTAATTAATTTTTTAGTTTTTAAAAATTGATCTATAATATGTTAAAGTATTAATATACTTTCTGTTGAACTGTACTTGGGTGAAAAGGCGGAAGGAAAAAGTGAATTCCAATTATTCACCCCGTCTAGGGTGGATGAACAAGCATTTCTGAGTAAATAGAAAAATTGGTCTCTATCTACGAATGTGAAAATATATAAATGCCTAAATATTTAAAATAAAAAACTTCATTCCCTATTTTGAAATCTTCAGCATTTTTTCTCCAAACTCATATTGAAGAACCATTCCTGATCAACTTAATAAAAATACATGAAAATGGGTTCACAATTTATAAAGATTTCAGTAATAATGCAAACATCAATAATATGAATAATTATAAATAATTCGAAAGAACCTCCTCTTGTTTCTTAAAGTTGGCTGAAAAAGGTACCAAGTTCGGTAAAAACGACAGCTGAGATTAGGCAGTTAGCTCCATAACAGTTTTATGATTATACCACGTTCCTGACACTGCTGGTTTTTGGTGGGATATTATCATTAATCAATAATCTGAATAAATATATGACCTATATTTCTCATGTATTTAAACTTTAATGATTAAATGTCGAGTAAGCAATTGGTGTGTTTACTCGTAGTTTCAAGCAGTGTACAATGTATATAATTTAATTAACCACAACATTAATTTGGCCAACTCCAATCGACTACGAATATCCATGACATGATTAGTTTATATGTTAAATTTGTTGTAGAATGATGACACTCGCCGTACAATATTCATTCGATACTGAACAGCAACGGTTGAGCCCAAAGGTAATCAATCTTTTAATATTTTATGACATGCATAATGTGATCAAAATTAGGTTCATAATATTTTTAAATGGTTCTTTACCTAATAGAATATTCCGATCGCGTTTATTATTCTTCTTTGCATCAGCCGGAATCAGAACTCAGGGTCTACAAAGTAGCCAGTCAGGCATTTTTATCACTAGATGGAAATATAAATCAGGTGTAAGATATACCCGTGATGGGTTACAGAGTCAACGGTAGGAAACGTCTAGTATTGCAATCAAGGTGTTTATGGCAAAATTTCCGTACGACAGAGCACACAGCAGTGGACTGTTAACACATTACCGAATGAAATACTTGTGGTATTGTTTTACACGTACACAATAACAAATATTTTCAAAAAAACTGCATATAAAATAATGAAATCAAGTTTCGAAACTATTTTACTCTTAAATATTTCTGTTTCTTTCCTGACCTTGGTTGATACACCGGAGTGACTGATTTAGCCAACGTCTTTATTATTAAGTGCTGTGCATATTATGTATTTGGATAGTCGCTCAAAACTAAAAGAAAAAAACATTTGTGTTGTATATTATAAGATATTATTAAATTTTTTCATAAAATTTTAACAAAAGAAAAACATTTATTTATTTTCAGTACGCCGAAGTTCTCTTAACGCCACCAAGGTTTTCCATCATGAAAAATGGGACATCAACAAATGACAAAAAGGATGCAAAAATGTCTAATACTGATGAAGCTTTAAATGAAGTCTCCGATATAATTTTTAATGATATACCACAATATAAGAAAGTAATGGAGTTGTTGCTCCAGGATATTAAACGAGGTAATCATTTATTGCTAGTTGAGAACCGGGGATTGGAAAATAAAAAAGTCGCAGACAGGCTATTACAATATTTGAATCGCCCTACGGAATATACACAATTGCAACGCAATACAACGGTACATTCTTTGACAATTCACCCAAATGCCAAAAATGGTACAGTCATTAATGAAGATTCACCACTCATCAAAGCCGTTAAATATGGCTACGTGTTAGTTGTGGATGAAGCGGACAAAGCACCAATAACAGTGACAAGCAGCCTAAACTCTTTAATGGAAAATGGAGAGATGATATTGAGCGATGGTAGAAAGATGATTTCCAAGAAAATTTTGAATAGTTCTGGAGGCAAACCATCTGGTATTATTCCTGTGCACGAAGATTTTAGAATGATAATCATGGCTAGTCAAACTGGATTTCCGTTATTTGAAAAATACTACTCTATTCCATTAGGTAATTTTAACGTTGTAATCACCAAATTTTTGTATTTACATGTAGAATTTGCTGTTAGTTGAAGTTGCAACAATGTCCTTCGTAGCTTACAAGTTTCACTGACACTTGACACTAACTGAGTTGGTACTTCACTCCATAAGTTACGAAATAATTTAAGCTTTCCCTTGGCGACATTTAAATACTTACGGTGACATGATAGATAGTGTTTCTCGTGGTGGAGCAACGACGAGATGAAAGGACAACTCAAATCTTAACGCCAAACTCCAACAGAATATCAGTGCAAAGCAGCAAATCAATGCTGGTCTGTTTTATATGGTAAATGACGGGAACCGCTGCCTCTATTTACTGGTCAAAAGGCATTTTATTGTTATCCTAAAAGTTTACAATGCACATGTATTTTAATTCTTAACTTGAAAACAGATGGTGTTTATGGCGTGCATAATTATTATTAATAATAAAGTTTATTATTTTCTCTCACCAATTTAGTAATAAACATAAACATACAACTTAATATTAATATCATCATCATCATCATCATTACAGCCACAAGTCCATTGCTGAACATAGGCCTCCCCCAAGTAATGCCACAAAGCACGGTCCTGAGCCACCTGCATCCACCGACTTCCTGCATGTCTTACCAGGTCGTCACTCCATCTAGTGGGGGGTCGCCCTACACTACGCCTACCGGTACGAGGCTGCCACTCGAGAACCTTTCTTCCCCATCGGTTATCGGTTCTTCGAGCTATATGGCCGGCCCATTGCCACTTCAGCTTACTAATCCGTTGGGCTATGTCGGCCACTCTGGTTTTACTGCGGATATCCTCATTTCTGAGTCTATCACGTAGAGTAAACTCCGAGCATAGCCCTCTCCATAGCTCGCTGAGCGACCTTGAGCGTCCTCATATAGCCAGCAGTGAAGGACCACGTCTCAGATCCGTAAGTCATCACTGGCAACACGCACTGGTTGTACACTTTAGTTTTCAGATATTGAGGTATACCTGACGAGAAGATGTGTTGTAATTTCCCGAACGCTGCTCAGCCGAGTCGAATCCGTCGATTGACCTTTCGGTCGAAGTTAGAATATTAATATGCTACAATCAATTTGTGAGAGACTGGTGTCCGTACTAGGATTCCCTGTATGACAGATCAGCAGCTCCCACCTACAGACCAACTTATAACCTAGGTAATATAAGGTGTATGATAAACAAAAAAATATACGAAAAGAGTTGTGTGTGTGTACTCTTCTGTGAATGTGTATATATATGCATGTGCGTGTGTGTATGTGCGTGTGCTTATAGTGTTTAGGTTTTATTTCATGATTTTAAGCAGTTTCTCAGTCGTTTCATAAACTTGATTTAATAACCATAGGATTACAAACTTTTTGCATTTAAATTTGAGAATATAATATAGATAAAATGAAGTTAATTTCGTTATACAGATGAGAAGTCAAGAAGCAGAAGAAATCATGTGTAAAGCTTCTTTTTCATGTTATTTTACAATTGTTTCTTTTATTAGTAAGAACAGAAGGATTGTAATATAACAGAGAATGTTGTTCTAATTTAAGTAGATGTAATTTTAAAGGAACCACCTCTAGCTGTTAGGCAGTATGTAATTGGCAAAGTGACAAGTAAGTTGATTTTATTATTGTTTCATCTGTCACATGTCGAATATTTTTAAAAATATAGATAATTTTGCGCAATCTATTAGTTGAAGGATTAATGTGAACTTGAAAATTCAGATTACTATCAATTATTATACCTAAGTACCTTATTTCGTAAACTTTTTGGAGCGAAAGACAAGAACAGTTAATAACATCATTATAATTATGAGAGATATGTGATTTAATATGGAAATTAGGTGAAATAGGTGTGTTAAGTTTTTTTAAATGTAATAACATACATTTAGTTTTAGGGGCATTGAGCTTAAATTTGTTATACGTTAGCTAGTTCATAATTACGTTGGAACCTTTTTAAGCATACAGATATACTTCTTCTCATGTATCACCGCTCAATAAAAGTGCAGTACCATCGGCATAGGAAACAAGAGTTTCATTTATCAATTTTAACTGACACATGCTGTTTATATAGGTCAAAAACAGGGTAGGACCTAAAATACTACCTTGTGGTATGCTATGAGAAACGGGAAGATCATCAGTAAACCAATTCCCTATTTTGACACATTGCGATTGGTTAGTGTACTTTCAAAGAATTTCAATTTCGATCCTCTGACAGCCAGCTTGTATAATTTGTGAATTAACAGTGGAATAGAGACCGTGTCAAATGCCCTAGCCAAATCAAGAAATACCGCTATTACTTTTTTGTTGTCGTCCATATGTTTAACAGTACAACCCAAAAACTCATGAACTGCGTCACTTGTAGCTTTGCCATTTCTGAAATCAAATTGTGCATGTGGTAAGAGATTTTTTGATTCAAGATACCTGTCTATTATTTACGACTTTTTCCAAGATTTTTGAAAATGCTGGCAATACAGAAATGGGCCGATAATTATCAACATAGTCCCTATTTCTACTCTTACAAACAGCGTGAATCATTGAACGCTTGAATTCGTGAGGAAATATTCCAGTATTTAGAGTAAGATTACTAATATATGTGAGTATAGGTGTTACAATATTTTTGTATCGTTTTATAAGAGAACTTAAAATTTTCCCGTCCCACGTAGTAAATTTTAAGCCTTGATAAAATTATTACGATTCTCTAGACGTTTACTGGAAGAAACACAAATGAGTGACTGGATGATATGCTTGGTATGCACAGGTATAAGTTTGTCGAGCGGTTTTTTTTAAAGACGCAACTACATTCTTCCTATGTTTACAATATATTCATTAATGTCATTATCATACTTCCTAGGATCATTAGAAAGAAGTTCTGTAGCCTTGATTTCAGTTGTGTGAGTTATATTTTTTATTATTTCCCACAGTTTTTTAGCTGTTACATTTCGCCTTATGAAGTCCCGTCTTTTTATATTCTTCTTTTACCTTCTTAAGTACGTTATTACAAAAATTCCCGTATCTGGTGCAGGTTGTTTAAAAAATTGTGTCATTAGGATGGTTTCTTGATTTAATATATAAATTGTCCCTATTGTTCATGTATTTTAGAAAGCCTCGAGATATCCAAGGTTTAATAGCTCGTTTAAGTTTCGAGACCGTTATGTTTTATTACATTTGTCAATAACTAGATTAAGAATATTAGTTATAAATGTAATTGCATTGTTTACATTTCGCATTGAGTATGTAAAATATAATTCATTAAAATTCATGTCTAAGGCCTCACAGTCAAGTTGATTTATTGTTTGATATGATAATTATTTTTACAAGTCTAATGTAAGCTAAGGATTATGCTGTAATTATCAGTGATGGTAGTGAGAGCAACAAGACAACGTGCGGGTTGTGTTGTTTTGAAAATTATGTGATCCAAACAGGAATTGTATTGTATGTGTTGGGACATTAAAATCTGGTAGCATAACATGAGAAGCTACTAGATCAAGATAAATAGAGGCTCTGGAGTATTCTGATGAGGACGTTTATAGTATAAGGGTGACAAACGAGCACAAAGTCCACCTGATGGTAAGTGGATACTGTGGCCCATAGACATCTACATTTGATCTCGTTTAAGAATTAAAATGCAGATGCGTTTTCACCCTTGAGGACTAAGCCTCGATGATGCCTCGATTCCAATAAAACGGGTCTCGTATTTTACGCTGGTATTCTGCGAGAGCGTGGTCTTTCCCGGTCGAGCCGGCCCATTCATGCTGCAACCATAATATAGCTGCAGAGTGACTCTACCACGTATAAACCTCCTGTTAATATTATATTTTTATAATGTGCTAACCCAGTAAGTACAGTATTTAATGATTCAAAGAAAGCGTTTGTTTTCTTTATGCTTGTGGAGCGGTATATTGCAAGGACGAGAGAATTAGCATTTAATTTTATAAGCAAACAATTAGCATCTGTTAGGTTGATTTCTGAGATATAATAATAATTATTTGATTTATAGTAAATTACGACTCACTCATTTTGTGTTTTGTTAATTGTGGTAGCAGCATAATTATATCTGTGTAATATGGGAATATAGGGACAGTTTTGAAACCAACATTCTGTAAATATAATTAGGTCCCAATCAGATTTTGTGCGATCCAGAAGAATTTGAAACTGTGGTAGATTACGTTTAAGGTTTCTTATGTTGTGTGTTATAAATTTTAAAGAGAGAAAAAAAAGGTTATTATATATTAAAATAGCAAAATCATCAATGTTGCATGTAAAACACGAGACCAAAGATAATGCGTCTAAGTCATTATTAATATTTTAATTAGTTCTATCGCCTTTTAAAAAGTTTATAATTTACTAGTTTAAAATTATGGTGAAAAAAAAAAATAAAAGAAAAATTTATTTTATCGTATACGACGCAAATATTGAAAATGTAAGGAATTATTACTAGGTCATTTCTTACGTAAAATATAACCAGATAAATAATTATTTTATTACATGTGACGGTACTCCGGTATAATATTAATTAGTAGTAGTTAAATTCAATTTGTGGCAGCTGATGGGAACAATAACTTTTTTGACCCACTAAACTCGAAATGTAACTTATGGTTGAAATATTATTTATTGGTTTACAAATAGTGTGATTTTTATTAGTAAAGTAATAAGTATAATATTTATATATAGTCACAAGAGGAACAAAGTTATTGTAATAATGCAATGAGTACTGTGCATCAAATAAATTATGATTAATATTTTGAAGTAATGTTGTATACATTACTTCAAAATCAACGTTTTTGTAGCACAATGAAAATTTAGATTATAATGCATTATGATTACAACTATCCATTCAAAGGGTTTAAGACGAGTTTGTAGTTTCTTTATAACATGGGTAATAGATTTAAATAGCCAAGTAATTTTTTTTGCGAATTCCATAAATATTCTGTGACATAGTTGTGTAATGAGATTTGATTGTGTTGTGCCTGTGAAATAAAATGCATTTTATCGTGTAGATGAATACGGCAAGTGAGACATTGTTCACACAATTAATTATGCATTTGACGGTACTATGACAATTAAATTAAACATGTGAACATTCTAAACACTTACGATCATTATATACCTAATATATGTTTATGGAAGTCAGTATAAGCTATTTTAATATTATTAATGTAGGTAGCCCATTTATGTAGAAACTTGTTATTTTTAAGTTGGGCATTCGTTACACTTGGTAATAATGCGTGAAAAACCAAATAGTTATTTTTAGGAATATGAAATAATAAGTAATAAAAAATATATGTATTTTGTTTGTATGTAATTATTATAACTTATAATTGATTTTGCAGAAATTCGTAATACGCTTCGCTAAACAAAATAGATAAGTAACTATAATATTTTGCTTGATTTGATGTGTTTATTGTGTAATAGTATTTGAGTATATATGTCTGATATTGATTATAACTAGCAAGGAAATATCTTATTACAAAAGGTATAGCAAATGAGCAATATATAAAATTAATAGTCAAATATAACTAAGTTTACAAAAATCTTCTTCACTGTCGATTCTAATAGCTGCCATACCATCCTTTTTGTCTCGTAAATACTTTCCCATGAGCAGTCCAGCAGTTACTACATATATTCTTCTTTGTATGTTGTCTGGCAAGGTAGTGAAGTCGCCGTGTTTTAGTTGTTAGGCATTCGGAAATATATATCGGTTTTGGTGGTCCACCTATATTATGATGAGAAGTATTAAATTCTTTATCCTTATTCTCTTTGTTAAATGCACTGACAGATCTAATAAAATTGTCATTCATTAGAGAAGTGGTAAAACTGATTACGATAGGACTTGGAGAGCTCGATTTTAATTTAGGTTTAATACGATAAATGTCACGTATCTCATTATCTTGTAAAGGCACATTAAAAAAACCTCACTAATGTTTCTTAGAAGTTTGCATAACGAAGACTGGTTTTCTGCTTGAGTTATTGGGATATTACGAAGCTCGATGGAGGAAGCTTTGGCATTTAGCTGTAGCTATTCTATTTTATTTTCCAATATGTTAATTCTGTATTGATATTCTGAGTTTTCTTGCTGCATTTTATTAATTTTTAATAACAAATCGTCGTATTTTTGAGCCAAAAAATCGATCGCCTTTTGGGTTACTAAGTTTAATTCTTTTAATGTTGACATATCCGATTCTAATTTATTAAATTTCGCCATTTGTTGTTGTTTCAAATCACTAAGCAGTTCTTTAATTTCATGGCTAACCATATCGCTGTGTCTTAGCTTATATTTCTTGGCAATGTACTCAACGTTTTCTGGATCATCAGAATAAATTTTTTCGGATGTTGTATCTGAAATTCGCTCTTTGGCTGGTTTGGAGGAACTAAAGTTAGGTGGAGTACGCTTAAGTGACATAACGATTTAATTACTAAGGCTTATTCTTGATATTCAAAGTTGTAGGCCTAAATAAAGCCGTCGCTAGTAGAATTTTTAATACTCAGTACACAACAAAGGCATAAGCAACTATTGGTTATAATGGGCGTGGCAAAATAATTGTAAGAGGCAATGATAATTTCGCGTTCACTGCAATATGTACTATCTCACTTCTAATATTCAAGAGGAGGGTGTCGCACAATATCACTATGCTTATCTAGTTAACGCGTCTAACTTTATCGTAAAACTATGAACTTCTGTATGCCTGGTGCTTGCACTTAATTTATTTTATGTGATAAATATTATTTTGAGTTAATGTACAACATGAAACACGTCCGTACATTACGGTGGTCCGAAGGGGAAGATGGCCTAAATTGCATAAAGTATCACGTACTCCCCACAGATTACTTACTAGCAGCAAGTGAACTGTGGGTAGTGCGTAATAATTTATGCGATGTAGGCGGGACATTGTCGGAGGAACTATGAGATTAATATGTGAGTCGGAACTAGAAACACCCAGTTGTAATTATTTAATATTTGTATTAGCAGGTCTCGAGGACAAAGGTGTGCACAACGCCAGTTCGACGCTGCCGCCGGGAAATCGTACGCGCCACCGCCGTCAAACTTCTTGTATGTGTGTTGAGTAATTTTGAAGTTCCTAGTATATTGTAGAAGTTTACTATTCTACTTAGTACGATTATGAATACAGTTGCTTATTAGAAATTGTTAATGAATTTCTATGAAATATTTCAGAAGTAATTTTCTTATAGAGACCTTTATCATTACAGCATCAACAAGTCATGAAATAGGCATCACTGTCAAAGCAGTTGGCTCTAGCCCAGCGATCACCACTGTCGTAATGGGAGCCGATGGCATGGGACCACATACAGCTACAGCAATAGCCTCGGGCACAGCAGTTGCCACTGCAACAGCATTGACCTATGGTACGGGAACCTCGACTGCTACAGCAATTGCTAACGTCTCATCAGTTGCAACCGCCACAGCACACTCATACGATAGAGCAGTCGCCACGGCCACAGCAAGCGCTCAAGACTCATCATCGGCCGAAGCTACAGCGCACGCATACGACAAAGCTGTCGCCACTGCCACAGCAAACTCATCTGAAACAAAAGTCGTCACGGCCAAGGCGATCGCCAAAGGCAACCAAGTCATAACTGACACACAAACTGGGCCCTCAACTTAGATTTATTAGAAATTTTCAACATCTTATGAAATATAATGAATTTAAATTTATTTAGGCAGTGGTTTAAATGGCTATTGTATATTATTGCACTTTCGGTAAGAAAGTGCACGTTCATTAACAAGTTTGGCTATAGAAACTGATCAGTAAAAATGTAATAAAATAAGTATTAATAATATTTAAATGAGTCCGTATGTCACTGTGAGTTTATATCCACTAGAATTAGGAAAAATAGTTGAAATGCAAGAAAGCACTAAGGGTGGGTAATGACATACAGCAGAGTAGAGTTGTACACAGAGGAGGCGTCAACTTCGTATAATTTTGATCGAAGGACACTTACAAGTAAGTTACTTTGATCAAATAATTATATTCGTTGACGCCTCCTCCGTGTTCGTTTACTATGTAGATGTTTAAAGACTTCATTACTTTATTTTAATTATTTACCGTCATAAGTTATCATATTATACAGTTTACAACAAACCAAACAATAAACGTAATATAAGTAAATAAGCTAATATAATTTCCTATTATGAATTATTGTTTATTTGTTTTATACTATTTCAAAAGCGAACGTCAATATTACTCTTAATTAATAATGACCTATTATAAAAATGAACAAAGTTTTGAATGTAATTTCGTTGTCTTTCTAGCATTTCAATATCAATACAACTTCTTTTAAGACGAGAAGTGGATAAATGTCCGGTACTATGTACAGTAAAAAATTATGTATTTTCTTGGTAAAATAACTACCCTAACTAGCTGTCCGACCAGTTGCAGGGTTATTAAGCAGTATTGAAAATAAACAACTAGTTTACTAAATTCCATACAGTTTTATACATGTAATATTATGAGGTAACTGGTACAAAATTTTGTATAACCAACTTCAATCATATAAGTAAAATGAGAACATTATCAATGTATTTGAATTCAATTAAATACGCGTTATTAAGGATAACTCAAAAATTACTGGTCAGATCCTTATCAAATTTACATGAGACCACAGAAGATGAAACAGTTTTCAAATGAAAACAGAATCATCAAAATCAGTTGATTGATGATAATAACCCCTGGGAAGGGTGATTGCTACCAAAGTATTTCTAATTTGTTTTGTGTTGTTAATTATAACATACATGATTGTAAGCTCTTATTTAAAAAAAATATAGTCCCACTGGGTTTCTCGCTGTTTCTTCCCAGGCCTGAGGTTTTTTTGCGAACCGGTGGTAATGAAAAAAGTGACTTTCAATAAGTATTATTTATAATCTATATTGAATAAAAAGTTTCTGTTTCTGGTTCACTCAGAGGAAAACTATGAAATATCTTTTTACCATTGACATTTGGTAAGAAGCACCTGGACTATATTGGTATGATATATTCGTGTTAAAGAAAAGACATAGTTAAACAATAGAAAATATTTTATTGATTTAAGCAGCCAAAGTGCGAAAAATTTCAACACTACCCTATCGGAAAACTAAATCACATATAAAAAACATACAGCCGAACAAAGTTCCTCCTTTTTGAAGTCTGTTAAAATTAAAAATACTCATAATTTCTCTATAGAATGTTATAATTAGCAAATATTGAATTTATATTTTTTAATTTTTTTTATGACAATTAGCTATGTAAACCATGTAAACCATTGTGTTAGACTTCAGCTTTGATCATATTCTAGTTTTTTTTTCCATCCTATAAATACCAGAAAAGGACTTTTTAACTTCATTATATGAGCCCAAATCATAATAGAAAGGACAATAAGTAAATTTCTTACTTTTACTGTAGCACCTACAACGATTTTAGACAACAGTCATGTTGTATATACAGGCAAGGGCTTAATGATTATTTAAATGCTTTACATAATAATTAATACCTCCCTGCTAGCAATTCCACAGCAAGGTAAGTTTAGATCAAAGGAGATGTTACAGAACAGTTGTTGACCAGTTTAAGAATTTTAATAAGTCGTTTTTTTAACAAGGTATAGTAACAGGTTTGTGAAGACTAAGGGTTATTCCTTTTTCTCTATTCCGTATTTTAAGCATGTGGAGAATAGTGCAGGAAACTTAAGGTTGACCCATGAATTTTATGCATTTATCTTTTTTCTAATAGAAAATGCATCAACTTAAGTTTATCTATTAACTTTGGTTAAAAACAATTCGATTCTATTTTATTTCCTCGAAAAAAGAGGGAAATACCTCGAGAAAATTACCTTGTGATTTTATTTATAAGGCAAAGAAGAAATACATATATTTTACAAGATCAATTTTACAAGCTATGTCACATGATGTGGTTATTAAATGCCACCCATATTATGGTTTGTATATAATATAGCTGTAGTGTTATAACAAATTTGGGCTATGGGGATTTTAACAAAAGTTATAATCTAAAATAAAAATTAAAGTACCTAGTACCCGCCCATTAATTAAAAAAAATGTGCTGTTAATTATGTTAAGTTCAATATGTTTTGTCTTTCTTAAGACCGATGTAGATTTTTGACCAAAAAATAATATCACATCCACTATGAACTGAAATGATTTTCATTTTATAAGCACCTCCTTTATTTGGATTACTTGAAATCTGAATATGATTTTTCAGGGTTAATTTAGATTTAAAATTTTTCTTTTTATTCAGGGGAAGGTACATAATAAATTCAAAATGTATTGTGTACATTTACCAATAAGAGATAGCTGGACAAACAGATATAAATTTGTCAATTAAATCAGCAAATCTTCTATAACATTCTAGTGGATTGTAACTAAATAATTGAATTTTCATTCATGTGAAATGTTTGTATTTCACTCCAGGTATGAAAATGCTATAATTTTATAAATTAAGACCAAGTAATTTAAATTTATTTTTAAGGTATTGATTTTTTATTTCGAATTAACAGCAATTCTAGAACTTTCCACTTTTTATTTTTATTTTCTGACTCTCATCATCTATGTATATATCATATCGCGGTATTTACCAATAAGTAAAAACAAAATTAAGACTAGTCTTATTTTAATTAATTTTGCAGCTGTATTAAATACAATATTTTCTGACATACTAAACTGAATATTCTAAACGGACATGCTTGACTCACACACTCTAATGAACTGATGTCGACCCAATATCAGACAATTTTTTGTATATAATATTTTAGACCATTCGGAATAAAATAAGGTCAGGTGAATTAGTTTACCCCTTTAGTTGTGTTTACCTCTATTCTTTTTTTCTCGATGGTTGGGCTTAGCGCCTGCTATATGTTAATTGATAATATCTCCTCTGCTAGTATAGATCAGCTGCTGGAGGCTATTGCATGTCTAGTGAGTTACAGATTGAGACAGGCTCTAATCGTTTAAAGGTTTCTGTATGTTTGTTTTAGATTTATTGTAGAAGATCCTTAGATCTTTTTAAGACAAAATTTTATACCTAATAAGAACTCACTTGTGTTTCCTTAATAGCTTTCTTTATAATTCATTGGTTGTTAACTCTTGTAGCAGTAATGCTGTTCTTAAAGGAGCCTCTAAATTATATAATCCACATAACAGTCTAATACAGCATCATTATTTTCTTTATCAGATTTGTTGATAAGACCTGTACATACTATAGTGAAATTTGAAAGTATAGGGCTCATTTTACACATAAGCTTCTAACTCTAGTTTGGCACTTGTTAAAAAAAATATAAAGAAGAGTATTCAAAGAACTTGAAAAGCAATTTTTCCTTTACTACAAGATCGACTGATAAGGTTTTGAGGTTGATATTGCTGGGTGAAACAGAATTTTTATCTTCTTCATCACTTGAGTAAACAATTTGTCTCCTGTTTTGTCACGAAAGTGAGTAAGATCAGTTGTGAAAATAGCCTCGTGTACTAGTCAGTGGTACCGCGAGTAGAATAACCCTTGCATATATTTTTGTAGTAAAAAGAACATATGAATATTGATTTGAAACAGAATTCATCATCATCCCTCATGTACCTCTTCGTGGCTCAGCAGAGGAGATATGTCATGTATAGACCAGTCGTTCCGTCTCAAACATAGATTTTATATTGCGTTTATATTACACTGTAAGCAATAATATTATATAAATTTTTATAGTAAATATGAACGTATGAATATACATACAAAATAGAACTCAATGCCTTGTGTACCGCCTCGTGGTACCGCAAGGCAGATATTTAATGTATATACTCTCGTTCTATCTCATACATAGATTTTATATTACTATTTTATAATGCTGTGAGTAATGAAATTATTTTCTACTTGTTTTCAATATCATTGATTGTAAGTGATAAGATATTTAACAAATAGGTCAATTTAAAATCAATAAACATATTAATGAACATGAACATATAAATGAAAAAGTATGTAGCGACGTTCGTTCTGTTTCATACTACGATTTCATATTTTGCGTTTTATAAATCTACCCCTAAATGTTATTGCAATAAGGTTGATGAAAAATTATGTACTTACAGAAGCTCGTTCTGCCTCATATATAGATTTCATATTTCGCGTTATAATAAATCTATCCTGCAAGTTATTTAAATACAAATATTACATACACTGCAATCGTCTAAAACGTTTATGAGTGTTTCAATAGGTTTTCACCATTTAATTTGAAGATGCGACTCGCTGATTCGGCACGAAAAATTGCATAGATAAATAAATATGTAGCAAGCTAAAAAATTGGCAATGATTGATATGAGGTGTATATTGCCAGTGCAGAGCTCATATAGGTAGGGGATACCAGTAAAAATATTATTTTTCAAAATCAATTCATGACTACATAGTATTCAAACACAGAGGAGGCGTTAACGAATATAATTGCAATTCAAATTCTCTTTTTATTTTATACCAATTTCCTGGGCTATTTTTCTGTATTTGTTATTTCCATTAACTGTATATCATACATTTCTAGTCTGGAAACGTGATGAATTTTGAAATTGATTTATGAGTACTATGATTTTTTCATTTATTTCACCAAACCAACAGTGTTTAATCGATCACGTACTAGCAACAAGCTATTATCA